GACATTGTTGGAATGTATCTTTTCCCATTGCTACATATTGATGAAAAATACAATTACTCATTTCTGAAAAGTAAATGTTAAGATTTCAGTAAATATAGCTATGCATGCACACAAATAGAATGCGTGTGAGATTCTAAAATCTGAATGACAAACGATAACATGGGCAATAAGTTTTTGTAGCATATCACATTATCATTTAAGCAATGGTCTCTCATACACATCGTGTTTCAGGGGTCTTGATTTTCGGCCGGAGTACAAGGACGTAAGCCAGATTTATTCGCTCCTCCATAAGAACACGAGGTGGCTATTTCTGACTGCGACATGCACAGACGAGCTGAAATTCAAGATCCTCTCAGTTTTAGATCTCGCTAAGAGAACTATCGAGACAGTTGCCTTAATACCGGACAGGTAACAACACCAATCATGTTTTCTCCATTCTTCTTAATGTTTTATGGCATACTGCACCTATTTAAAGTCAGACAACACATGGCCATAGCAAATATCTGTTTGTACATTGATGTGCTGTTACACTCTTATAATAATATAACAATTAGCTTATGTTAATTTGTATGCATAGCTTAAAACAACATTAGACAAACACCGACAGGCTTTACAGATTTTTAAATTGATAAATTAACAATTTACAACGCTTTTACTTACATAGGAAGAATATAAACCTTGGTGTCAAGGCACACAAACGTCTAGATTACATGGAGGAACTGAAGTGGCTTGTGGATGACATCAGACTGAAGGGTTGCGATGCTGACAAAACAATAATATACTGCAGGTGATTACTTACACTAGATAAGAGGCACGTTTAGATTTCCATCACCAGTCAGAAAAATATTGAAGATATTGTATCGCCACGGGGATGCTATGGTTTCATGTCTGCCCTGCCGCTGACGCCGCCGCAGACACTTTCCACCTCCGCTCTATAACTCGGCCCCTAATTAACCTCACGCGACCAAACTTGGTATACCTACACATATTGGAGTTATGGGGCGTGTCACGCACCATAACCAGGACACTGCGACCTATATTAGACTTTGACCTTTACCATATGTCCCATTCCGCTTTATAATTAGGGCCTCTAATTGACCTCGCGCGACCAAACCTGGTATGCTTACACATCTTCTGGAGAAGGTGTGTAACGTACCAAAACCAGGAGATATTTTATTCATACTAGATGGCAAGGGATACATGTGGGTGGCAACAACTGCTATTTCTAGTTAAGTAGAAAATTATAAGTCTGAAAATTTGATAGCTCAATTCTCTGGTTTTGGCAGATCCTTAACCAGTGTGGCAGAGGTTTTCCACAACCTCATAGAAGAACTTGGCGATTCTGCATGGCACAACCCGGAACACGAAGTAGAACATCTACTAATCACCATGTATCACGGTAGCATTGGCAAAGAACAAGAAGAATACATCCTTCAAAACTTCGTGGAACCTACATCTAAAATCCGGTGCATTGTCAGCACAATAGCTTTCGGCATGGGCGTATATTATATACTTCGGTCCAAGTAGAAGCGCTCTGCAATACTGGCAAGAAGTTGGTCGAGCCGGCCGAGATGGGTTGCCTTCCTCTGCTCACCTTTTACTTGGCCCAAGAGCACTCGATACACGTCGCATGCAGGAGGACATGCTCCACATTTGCCACCAAGTTCGCGATGAGGGTTGTTGTGTGAGGCTGGCTGTCCTCCAAAGCCTGAAAATGGCTGAAACACCAGAGCTATCAATAAAGCACCCAACATGTAGAGGGTGTTGTGAGAAGGACATGTGTCAGTGTTCAGCATGTTGTTGCTGTTCTGTCTGTCGCTTGGCTTGCTTTTGCCGACAGCAGTAAGATATATGAACAGAAAGTTCATGAATGTTACCAACCAGGTACAAAATTAAATTTATTTTCAAGCTCCCGTGCATGATAATATCCCTCTGAAATTTGGTTTGCATAAAACTTTATGCAAATTTAAGGAGGCTCTTTTTGGCATTTCGGGGATAAATCGCCCCGAGCCCCTTTGTATTTTTTTTCACAGTTACTAACCTTAGTTAGGCCTGACCACCTTAAAGGACAACGTCTGGTCGAGTTTGTGGCTGTATTTCTGTAGCCGGGCTTTTAGATTAGCACCGTTGTTTATTCTCAAACTGCCAAAAATAAGCGTAAAGTTATTGAAAGTTGCTGACAATTTGTCAATATATACAACAGGGTTCTCCCCAGGATGGAATTGAAACAGGGGGAGGGGAGGGGGAAGGGAGGAGAAACTAGGGGGGTTGGGGGGCGTTTTTTTTCCGTACCACTAATTAGTACATAAAATCACCGCCACACCATAGACGGTATGTGGGGTACTTGTATATATCAGATAGCCGAGTCGCTGTACAGTTAGTGTTAGGTTTGGCACTGTTTGCACTTGTGTGTGGTCTGCAGTGAATTCGTATTGTAGGACGTTTACGCATCCGGAGAACCCTGTACAAGTAACTGAACAATGTTAGATTCATTTTTTGGCATCACAAATTTTAAGGGTACTGACCTATGTTTAAAGTTTGTAAATGATGGATGGTTCCTGCCGGGATGATACGCGAACAAGTCGTCGCTCTTGTAAAACTCAACAAACTTTGCCACGTCATCCTAAAGAAGAGTTTTAAAATTTTGTACAGTTGTTATGTAAAATTAACGGACATATGGTACGTTTTAGCATATTTATGATTTAGTTTTGTTTGTAAAACATTGTGGGTGCATACATTGTAAACTCATCAACAGTGCACGTTTTTCATTGCATTGTTACATTATTGTTATTATGCTGATTTATTAATGAGCATGTCCGTTACCTGGTAGTGTTCCTTGCTGCGGTGGTGATAACTCGGAACAGCTGCCTCCTATGGTGTACGATCTGTCAAATTAGTCAAACACATATGTGTTTGTGCGAAATAACCAATATAAATTGCACAAACAACATACATACTCAGTACTCTCTCAAAACAACATGTATATTTCCACAAAAACACATATTTACCTGTTTGCAAATAAACATTATGAAAATCCGCGGAAACCACTACCTGTTTTCCTCGCGGAACGCACATGCTTTTCTCAAAGTTGCTTTTCTGAAAGTTGCTTTTCCACGACCGCTGTGATTTACGACCTTAGACTGGTCCCCGTCGCCAGCACCCACTCACAAGCTCGCTGCTAGATACACATATGACGGTTGCTGTGGCGCCACGAGAACCCATCTATTACGACCTGTCACTCGTAGTAAGTAAGCCACATATTCCAATGCAACTTAAGATTTATTTCCACATAAAATAAAAGATTTGCAGACAAAATAGACATTTTAGTAAGAACAACTATTCCTTATGTTATGGTTAGTTTATTGTAGGGGTAACTAATATAATTTAGAGTTTTTTTAGAACGTCATGTCATATAACTATAAGTAAGCCACATATTCGATGATAATAACATCGAATGAATTCCTCTGATTGGGCGCAATGATTTCTTGCTTCGCGAAGCTGGTTGAAGAAGCAAGTGGTACAGGCGGTGACCGCCTGTATCATACAGGTTAGTTTTTACCGGACGAATCATGAATGGAGGTGAGTGCAGACTTATAAATTGTGCCCATCAGTCATCACCTGTAACCATTGCATTGAATTCATCGGCATCAACACGAAAACAAGTCTTGGACTTATAATGTGTAGTGACGTAAAACTGTTTAGATAAATACAATAAAATAACAATTAATACTACTAGTACTACTAGTACTAGTAGTATACTAGTACTAATACTATAGTAGCAGGACTCAGGAGTAAGATTAGCTCTAGTACTATAGCACGCGTTCGATTAAGTGCCGCAGGCATTAACGGCCCATTCCTATTTGACAACCCCGGCCCAGGTGGCTCCAGGTGGCCCAGGGGTCTCCTGACCCCTAACCCTAACCAAACTTACGACATGGGTATGTAAACGCTACTTGTACCGGCATTAACTGCCTGCGGCAGTTAATCGAACGCGGGCTATAGTACTAAAGGTAGAGCTAATCTTACTCCTGCTATATAGTAGCTAGTACTAGTACTACTATACTAGTATAGCCCGACCTAAACCGACCAGGCTCTCCGACTAGTTACACGGCGGAGGACGTAGCCTCTCGCCACAGAGTGTTAAGCGAGTTAACTTGTGGCTAGGTCACAAGATAACTCGACTCATGAGTCGAGTTGTCCGATGAGTCGATTTGTCCTGTCGATACAAACTCGATTCATCAGACAGCTCAACTCGCCGGCGAATATCTCGGCCCACGGCTAATTTACAGGTGAGATATTTACTATAGTTTAGCGCAAGACATTGCACAACAGTCAGTAGATATGTTCACGTGTAAGTGTGATTTAGTTCTAGAGCTCAATTTCAACTTTAAACTGGCATGTTGCGTTGAACATTCCAAAAAGTCTCGTTACTGGACTATAGCTAGTAAGACTACATGTCTTTATTTTTTCAGCACAACAACAATGTCATCAAGTAGGTCGAGGTCACCCTTCTGTACTCGGAGACGAGATTTTTATGCAAGTAGGCGTCGTATTAGGTAAACCATACATGTGCCATCCCACTGAAGAGTTTTGGTCGGCCTTTGTGATGTTAATACGTGCTGAACCATAGTGTTTAAAAAGTGAAGCAGCAATATATTGATATACAACTCTCAATTAAGAAAATATTATTTCTCGTTGCTGTATTTGATTGGTGTTCATAGCCACTAGTTTAGCAATATATCATGTACTTCTTTTTTGCATTAAAAGTTATTGAAACAATTATATGAAAAGCCAAGTGCATATTATGATGTAATATACAATTACAGAGGAACTGCTGAACAAAATAGAGCAAAGTGGAGAAGGAGCTTTAGATTTATGTCTCCTCCGCATGCAAAGACTACAGCAGATCATGCAATGTGCTAAACGTGTTCTCAATATACCACAAGACATCATTGATCTGATCGACAAAGCTATTGTTCTTTCCATCAACATTCAAGAATTGCATACAGCATTACCTCTCATGCCAGCGAAGACTGTTCATGATGGAGGGCGACACAGACCAACATACGACATTGCTGAAGAACAACTAAGGCAAGGACATAAATATTGCCAAGTGTTTTGTATTTGGATGCAGGCACATTGAAGTATTCTTTGTTTTACACATTGTTATTGCTGTTGTAACTTTCGGATAAGTGTAGTGATCACTTATGCTCGAGTACGATGCAATGATCACCTACTACTTGCTATGACCATACTATAGCATCATAGTATCTGTTAATTGTCACATATGCATCACTTGTTGTCACTTGGTGATTTCTTGTGCTTGGACACATTTGGATAAGCCACAGCACGTAATTATTTGCATTGTAACATGTTCAAATTATAATGTCTGAAAAATTCACACAACCCTAATTTTACTCAATATTTATGTCATGTATGCGTGATCCTTTGCTTTATTTCAGGTACTTAGTTTGTAAATTGCAACTAAGTGTCAGTGACTGCAGTGCAATACTTCAAGTTTCCAGACAGACGATATACAACCGTATGACAGCATTCCAGATCCCAAAACGATGTGAGTTATATAGAAGTATAGATGACAATGGCCTGGATGAAGTGGTGAGAAACATCAAGCAAGAATTTCCCAATGCTGGGCTGCGCATGACATTGGGATTATTGAGAAGGTACTGTAATAGAAAACTGAGACTGTATAAATTTTGCTTAGTAAGTCATTGGTGCATGTGCACTGTATAATGCTTAGAAAAGTAATCTTGTATTTTCCCATGTACAGCAGTGAGAATATATAAGTGTTTATGCCTCTATGCGAAGAATTTAAAAAATTGCCATTTTAGGAAGCCGTGCATGCTGCCAAGTTATGCAATGCCATGCTTTGAATTACAGTAGGAAAATTTATGCTGCACGAGACCAAGTCATGAAAGCTCTTTGGAGGGTTGACCCTGTCGGAGTATTTTCTAGAAGCCTTCGTCTCCATGTAATAGAAAGGCATGAGTATAGCATCCACCTTCCAATGCTACTCTGGCACATTGATGGTTATCATAAATTGATAAGGTCAGTTTTACCGAGTGTTTGCTAAATTTCTCATCTAATTTGTCTGTGTTAAAGTGCCAACGTTTTAGCAAATTTATTACTGTTTGGTAAAATATTTACGAAAAAAAGAAATAGACACCAACCTGAACGTAAAACTTAAAAACACGTTAGCAATACTGTGTTCTCTGTATGCCAATCCTTCTTTACTTGTGGCCATAACTAAAACTAGGGTTTTGTACATAGAATGATCATAGAAATGCAAATGCCTTCACAGTTATAGACTTGAGTATGGCATTGCTTGAATTAGTAATTGTGTTGAGGTTGAGAGGAGCTTCATTGTATCTGAGTAATGATTTAGCCATTAACAGGTTATATTTTAGGTACATTATTAGCTCACCTTGACATCGTCATGATGAGCTATTGCCATGGGGCGTTGTCCGTCGTACGTCCGTCCATCCGTCTGTCCGTCAACATTTGGCTACGGTCAACGATAACTTGAGAACTGTTTGACCCACATGTTTCAAATACATAGTTAATTGTTACTCCTATGTGAGAGATGTGAACGTCCTATTTTAGAGCACGCGAGTTGACCTACTTTCGAGCCACGCCCACTTTTTGACAAAAATTGAAATGGCCATGAGTCAATTCAGGTTCAACGAATTTTGCTCATTAACTTATCTGACATAGTCAGATGCAGCTTGTAGAATCGCATGAGCGTGTGTCCGTCCGTGCGTCCGTGCGTCAACAGTTGCGCACAAATCTTAACCGCTCGACGTACGGTGACGATATTCGGGATGGGGGGTATAATCCGAAAACGAGTTTGAATGTCGAAGCTGGTGGTCAAAGGTCAAAGGTCAAGAGGTGTAAGAGAAGGGGGAACATTCCCTCCTTAACTTAAGGTATTTGTGCCGCAATCTAAACGGCTCGACCTAGGCTCGTGACAGTCGGTGTATAGCATCAAAAAGCCATCACTGTGCCGAAATTGGAGGTCACAGGTCAAAGGTCAATGGGCACAGGGCAGATTTTAGACATTTTCTGAGGACATGGTCTGACGGAGCGATTGAAAAACTTTTTTGTTTCAGCGGTGACCTAGCATTTTTATGGCTTTATTGAAAGGACCATGAAATGTACTTTCTGCTGACATGCAAAGAGCAAGTGTCGGATAACTTTTTGACCTTCAAAAGGAGGGTTAAACATGGATTTGTTTACTGTTAGAAAGAATTTGGCTGCTGGGTTTGCTAGTAGAATCTATACATGCCTGGATGTATGAGGCTACTATGTCACAGTGAAATTTCAAAAGCTAAATTTGGTTGAAGAAGGTTTATGCTCCTTAAATCTTAATTTCTATGGCATTCTGTACTGTCAGTGTGTTACATGTAACTTGTGCCACTGCCAGTGCATGTGGTGGTGATAGTACTGTGTAGTTTTTGCCT